GGCGGTCAGAGGACAACTCTGGAGTCAGTTCTGTCCTTCTATTTTCATGTGAATTTCAGACATGGAACTCAGTTTACCAGGCTTTTGCACCAAGAATCTTTACTTGAGCTGAGCCATCTCACTGGCCCAATATGCTCTTGATGCCAGCTCAGCTGTGAAGATGGAGGCAGCCTTCTTTATCTGGTGCTGCCATCTCCTTTCTTGCTGGGCTCATCAAGCCTGTCATGGATCTGCCATTGTGCTGTGTTCAATTCTAAGCTATCCTGCCTTATTTTGTCATCTGCTCTCTGCTCCTAGGACTGCCTTGGCCTGGTCAGTTCTTTTGTCTTTGAGGACTCTGGAAGGGCATCACTTCCTCTCAGAAGCCCTCCCCACCGCCCCACCTCCACTGGGTTTCTCTCCATCTTCCTCCTGCCCTCCCCCTTCCCACTGATCTGCCTTTGTGTCTGGTCTACAGGCATCCGCTGTGACAGCACATGCCCTCCAGGTCGCTGGGGCCCCAACTGTTCAGTGTCCTGCAGCTGTGAGAATGGAGGCTCCTGTTCCCCAGAGGATGGGAGCTGCGAGTGTGCCCCTGGCTTCCGAGGACCCTTATGTCAGAGAAGTAAGGCTAGGTCCCCAGCCCAAGGCTTTCTGATTTCCCATCCACTCAGACCCTCCCAGTCAGAAGTAGTGCTGGCCTGTGGAAGGCTGGCTTTTGGCAGCCAGTTTCCTCTTCTCACTCCATTCTATGCCTTCCTCCTCTATACTGGCTGCTCTGCTCCCAAGTTCAGGGCCCAGTCTCTCAGTAGAATCAGGAGTAGCCCTCAGTTCCTCTCTTCAAAAGGTATGAGCCTCCAGGTGTGGGGATCCTACACTCCCCATTTTCAAGAAGACTCTCGTCACTGGGATGGGGGACCAGAGAGGTGGCTATCCAGCTATTCCCTACAAACTTCTAACCACTGTCTTTCCCCAACACCCTCAGTCTGCCCACCAGGGTTCTATGGCCACGGCTGCACCCAGTCTTGTCCCCTCTGCGTGCACAGCAGCGGGCCCTGCCACCATGTCAGTGGCATCTGTGAATGCCTGCCAGGATTCTCTGGAGCCTTGTGCAACCAAGGTACACTCAACTGGTGGGAAGGCCAGGGCAGGGAACAAAGGGGCAGAAAACAGGAAGGGTTCAGGGACTCACTTCTTACACTGCTGGGAACTGAGCAGCACATATGTGAAATGAGAAAAAGTCACTATGCTGCTGCTGAAGGGAAAAACTCAAAGAGGTTAAATGTCATGTCTATGGTCTCACAGCTAGCAAGTGGCAGAAACAAATGCAGACTCCAATATTTGGCTAAAAACAGATGGAAAAATGGGCCAGGCACGGTAGTACATACCCACATAATCCCAGAATTTGGGAGGCTGAGACAGAAGGATTACGTGTTTAAGATCAGCCTGGGCTACTTAACCAAAAAAACTAAAACCAGGCCTGAGGAGGTAGTTCAGTTGGTAGTGCCTAGAGTGCATGTGGCCTTGGGTTCCATCTCCAGCACTACATAAACTGGGTGTGGTGTCATACATCCATAAGCCCAGCACTCAGGAAATAGAGGTAGAAGAATGGAGAAGTTCAAGTTCATCCTTAGCTACACAGAGAGTAGGGGGCTAGCCTGGACTACATGAGACTCTATCTCAAAATAAATAACAAGCAAACAAAAAGTGGGAAGGTAAAATGAGCATTGATACATCTAGAGTGACCTAGAGCTAGGGCTATGTGAAATGTAAAGGCAGAGGCTCTGTGGGGGCACAGAAATGGCCATGGCCCGGTCTGTCATAGGCTCCTATCCTGCCTCAGGTCAACAGCACTAATCCTTGGCCCCCACACACTTCTCAGCTCACCCCAACATCAACTCCAGGCCTGCAGCACACTTCCCAGGCAGTGCTGAAGGGGCAACCAAGTTTACTGTAACATGCTCCCTGAACTAGCTGGTTTTCTGGGGGTAAGCACATGCCTTGCAGCATTTACAGGGTTCCATGACATAAACATTTCTGCTGTGGCAAATGTCAACACTATTGTCAAAAATCCCTCTGCATTAGCCACCATGGCAAGATAGAAGCTGGCCCCAGCATCTACCATCCACAGCTCCATGGGTGGCTCCTGAAGCCCAGGGCAGTGTGACAGTTGGAGAGAGTCCAGGAATTCTGCACATCTTTGCCTGGACTTTAGTCTGCAGGGTGGATAACAGAACCTGGGATGCTAGTATACAGCAGCAGGGGATGGATGGAAGATGCAACTAGAGATGGGGAGTAAGCCAGGAAGGCCAGTTAGGGCTTACTTAGGATGGCTTAGGACATGCCCTTGCTTGGATACTAGCTTGTACAATTTACACTATAGTCAGGGAGAGTAAAGACATTTGAGAATAATATGAACTTAGAGCTAACAGCAACTCTAAAGTCACCTAGGCAAGAATCTCACCTGGCCTGTGCTTAAATACTTCACCTGGTGAAGCGCTCACTACCTCCAGGGGAAACCATTCTTTTGAGACATCATCACTGCTGAGCTGGGCTATTTTTAATATGCATGAAGAGAAGTTTGACTCCATGATGTGTTGAGGTCATGATAAGTTTGGACCCCAGGGAAACATATGTGACAGTTTCATTTGCCTGTAGCCCTCCTAGGATGGTTTAATCACCACCTGACAGGCTGAGGTTTATTTATTAAACATAGGAGACCCAGCCGTCAATAGAACCAGGCCCAGTCTAAATTAGGAGCTATGAGGCCCGAGAAGGAACCCTCACAGCCCATGTCGTCTGATTTATTGCCCGCTGGCCTAATGAGTATTTTCCACATATAGATCTAATGGAGTTTGCTATTAATGGCAACTGCCCTGGTTAAGTCTCAAACCTTGTAAAAAATTGAACTGACACTTTCTAATGACTGGCTTTCCAGTGAGTTACAAATTATGGACAGTGCTTCCCCAGAATCATTAAACATAGATTAAATATAACCCAATGTTTTCTTTTCACCAGCCCCCTCCTCCCCTTCCCATGGTTGACTCTTGATTCAGCTAAGAAGTCTTGCAATTAATGCATTAGCTGGATCACATTAGCGGCTCTGCGGGTGAATTTGTTCGTCTTGTGTAGGGGGAAGACTTCAAAGAGAAGACTGCCTTGTTAGAGCAGTCCAGATTTGTGGGGTGAAGGCTGGTGAAACAGCTCCAGCACCAAGCTGGTGGACAGTCCTTTGCCTTAGCCAAGAGAGGGCGTGTAAGGAAGCCACCTTTTAGGATGATGGGGCTCAAACTGGATCCTCAGAATAAAGCATTTCCCAGAGACAGGGAGGAGGCGGGGCAACAGGCAGTTTAGGAAGCTGAGGGTGGAGCCTGAGCAGCAAATATGGGGAAGCCAAGCACAGCCCTGCTCAGCCAGCCTACCTGTAGCTACTAAATGAGGTCTGAGGCCAGCAAGTGGGGGCTCCTGTTTCTCTTCCCATTTTGATGAAGAAATAGATCTAGGGCGTAGGGTGGGATGTGAAGTGCTTTGCTAAAATGTGCTCAGCTAAGAAACAGTAGAACTTCTTTGCTGTGTAATCTTGGACAGCTTAAACTCCCTTCATGTGTCAAGGGAATTCAGTGATAGGGATCAATGATGAAGACATTATCAAGATTAAGTGAACTTATAGTATTTGTGAAATGTTTTGAACAATTTCTGGTGCATGTGTCATGTATTTGCTGAATGTGTAGCAAATCTAGGACTCAAACCCAAAGCCTCAGGCAGAGTTGGGTCTACCTGCCTTTATCATCTGTCCCAACCACTAACCGTGTTCACTGAAGTAGAGACTACATGTATATTCTGGCTACCCAGTGCCCATTGTCAGGCTGGAAGGGCTGGCAATGGGAGGCAGAGTGGAGGAAACGATGTAATGGCATCCCTGGCTTGAGACCTGAGCCAAAGGAAGCCACTTTCCTCCAAGAAGTCAACTCCTATTCCATGGGGGCTCAGATCCTCTTGCAGAGGATCTGAGTCCACTTCCCAGCACCCATGTCAGGCTTACAACTGCCTCTAACTTTACCTCCAAGGGATCTGATGTCCTCTTCTGGCTTCCACAGGCACCTGTTCACATGTGTACATACTTGCACACAGATGCATATAAGTAAATATAAAACAACAACAACAACAACAAACTATTCCTGGTCCTCTGATGATCACAGTAGCAGAGCCTTCTAGAATGTTGTGACTCTCAAGGACTACTTCCTCAGAGTTCACTGGACAGTCGGATACAATAGAAAATGAGACTATATTTTCCATCCTTACAAAGTTTAGGCCAGAGGACCTAGGAGAGAGGTGGGAGAAGGGTGATGTTTGGCTCTTGTGGCTTGAACACCTGTTGACTCTCCAGGCATTGTAGGGGACACCGGAAGGGGCAGGACTCAGGCTTGGCCTGAAACAGCTGTTACATCTCAGTTAATAGTAGAGTTCACGGAAGAAGCTACTTGAAGCCTCAAATAGGGACAAAGAAGAGAGAGGATGGAGTTCATATAAAACACAAAAATCACAAATAAGTGACTTGAAAATGATATACATTGTTTTGCTTACATACTAAGAAAACAAAAAAGATCCAAATGCAGGCTGCTAGGGAACACTAAGGTAGCTGGCACGGATGTCAGTATCTTAATTTGCTCCATCTTATTGTTCCAAGGTAGGAGACACTTAAGATAAGTCTTATAGGCAAAACATCCATAGCTGGATTTGAGGGGCATAGGAATTTAGAAGACACTAGTCATAGGAAAAGCACAGAAGAAATGCCTGAAGTACCCTTAGAAGGAGGTGTGTGGTCCAGTGACCTATGTGTCTAGGAGGGTAGTCAAGGATAGCCCAGGGGAAAGCAGAAGGCTGGGAGGTAGTCTAAGAGCACTGGGCTGAGAGACCAAAGAGCCCATCCCTACCTTACCACTTCCTATCTATGAGACCCAAGACAGGTGATGCCCCTATATGGGCCTCTGGGGGGAGATGCAGCTGTGGGAGGAGGGGCACTCAGTGTGATGGAGGATGACCTGCCTTTGCAGGTGTTGGTTCCCGTCTAGATGATGTCCAGGTCATGGCTGTGGCCTAGGAACCTCTTGGGATGCAGTTGGTGGGTAGTGGCTCTTAGAGCCTGAAAAAGAAGGCAGATGCCAGGCTTCCCTGTGCCCACAGTGTGTGCTGGAGGGCACTTTGGGCAGGACTGTGCCCAGCTCTGTTCCTGTGCCAACAACGGGACCTGCAGCCCCATTGATGGCTCCTGTCAGTGCTTTCCTGGGTGGATCGGCAAGGACTGCTCACAGGGTAAGCTGCTGCCCCTGCAAGTGCTCCTCTTTCTGTCATGGTGCCTCCACCCACAGGGTTAAACTAAACTCTCCTGGAGACAAGAGCATCCATCTGAGACCCATTTATTTATTTGTATTATTTCTATGTGTATGATGTGTGTTCAGGTGCCACGGCATGTATGTGAAGGTGAGAGGCCAACTCCATATTGTCAGTTCTCTTCTTCCACCTGTATGTAGGTTCCAGGGATCAAACTCAGATTCACCAAGTTTGGGTAGCAAGTACCTTTCCCATTGAGCCATGTCATTTGTTCCCCAATCCTGAAAGTTCCATTTAGCTAAACAGCAAATTTGGTGAGTTACTGGTACTGACCATGGATATTGTTACTGCAGATATTAAAGGCATCAATATTGTCAGTTCCATCAATGCTGTGAATCCTGAAAATTCATACTCCATTAGCATCTGTGTAGAAGGAACAGTCTGAATATAGATGGGGAGGAGGCTGGTGTGCTGGGCTAGGGCAGCCACCCCTGGACAAATTGAGTACCCTGTGGGATGCCCTTATAAATGATGTATTGAGCATCTTAAGCCTGAGCAGGGTACTACAGTCTGATACCATGGCAAATACCCTTCCCAAAGGGGCCTCAGCTCTTGGCCTATGGAGCTCCCTATCTAATGTATGAGACAAAGCCAGTACCTATAAGGAGGTCCCAGTTAAATGGCTGAACTTGGGGGAATTCCATTCTGGTTTGGAGCCACAGGCTCCATCCTCAAACAGCACAAGAACTCAAAGAGGAGACAGTCCCTGGCACTTGTGGAGAAGTCAGTATCCCGTGTTACTCCACCTCTATCCCTATCAGTCCCTCTAAGAATGGAGGTTCAGGAACCCTTGGAACAAGGCTGCCTTAGTCACCCAAGATTAAGAGAGTGGACAGAGAATCTGGGTCTCATAGCAGTCCCAGGGGATGAGGCCCAGCGGTGAGCTGAGGGATTCTGAGAATAGTGTATCAAGTCCCCGAAGGCCAAGAGATGCCCCTCTGGGTCCATCCAGGTATCCTGGCTCTGATGTGTACTCGCCTCCCCTCCCTTCCCTCCTGCTCCTCTCTGCCCTGCCCTTCTCCCTCTGCATTCCCCCCTCCCAACCCCCACAGCCTGCCCATCTGGGTTCTGGGGCTCTGCCTGCTTCCATACATGCAGCTGCCACAACGGGGCGAGCTGCAGCGCCGAGGATGGGGCCTGCCACTGCACCCCTGGCTGGACTGGACTCTTCTGCACGCAGCGTAAGCCCTGCCTCCCAGCCACTCCCAGTCATATGCTGCAGCCTACTGGTCACTTTGTGAATAGTCCTGGCTTGTAAAGAGGGGGGAAAGAGGCTGGCCCCAGTACCAGCCAACACCTCAGGATCATCCAGTCTTGAAAGGTCAAGGCTATAGGGTACCCCAGCAAACAAGATCAGACCCTTGGACCATGGGGAAGAAATCCCAGGTCTGAACAACAAAGAGACCAGAGCTTGTCCTCTGCTGCTGAGGCCCTAGTTGCATGGATCACCTTGCCCCCACCCTCCACCCCTTTAGACGAGTTTCAGTGGGTACAGATGGCTCTGTGGGGGCTCACATTTACCCCATGCTGCAGAGGAAGCAGCAGACAACCTTGGGTCCCAGCAACATCTGCAGTTTCCCTGAGCCCACAGCCACTGTGATCTGTCGTCTTGTTGCAGGTTGCCCTGCAGCATTTTTTGGGAAGGATTGTGGACACATATGCCAGTGTCAGAATGGAGCCAGCTGTGACCACATCACTGGGAAATGCACCTGTCGAACAGGCTTCACTGGGCGCCACTGTGAACAGAGTAAGCTGCCCCAACCCTGTTCCTGGTATTTGGGCTGGGCTTCTGCCTACTGTAGGGGAAGTTGCTGCTTTCAGCCCTCCCCCTTCCCGGTTCCCAGACACCAGAGCTCCTGTACTCTAGACTTAAGGCTAATCCTACACAGGGCAGGGGTGTGGTAAGCAGAGCAAGGAGGGACTAGAGGAAGGCAGGATTTTCTGGTTCTTTAAATGAGTTGAAGAGGGAGAGGCAGGTGAGGCCTGCCTTCTCCTGTGCCCATGTGCCCTGACTCACCGTGATTTGATCTACCCATCCCCAACCATGTAAGTACAATGGGCACTCCAGTTCAATAGTCTTCACTGTGGGTGGGATACAATTGTCCTGTTGCCACAGGCTTCCCCACCTGGAATTGGAGAGGTGGAGTGTGGCTGTGTCTCACTGTTGCACTCTGCATTCCATATAGGATGTGCCCCCGGCACCTTTGGATACGGGTGTCAGCAGCTGTGTGAGTGCATGAACAATGCCACTTGTGACCATGTCACTGGTACCTGTTACTGCAGCCCTGGATTCAAAGGAATCAGGTGTGACCAAGGTAACATACAGGTGACAGAGTGTCTGGACAGGGGTGGAAAGGGCCCAATCATTGGTGGCTTCAGAGAGTTCTAATCAGACCAGCTGAGGTTTATGACACTACCTCTTAGTCATAGTTGGGAGCCTCACTTCACAGCTTCTCCATGTGTATACTCTGGGAGTTCCCCCATGAGTTAGTTAGTCTCAGCACTAAGTTGGATCATGCCAAGTTTGACTTCTGCCACTCCCTGCTAGGTGTCTCTGGGCGGGTCATTTTCTTTGCTGGGCCTTTTACTCCATATTCAATTGATGAGATGCTGACCTTTGTCCAAAGGGCTCAGCTTGACTCTACTGCTACACCTTGGCAGCATCCCCATGGTACAACTGAGGGGATCAAATTGAGGCAATTCAAGAAAGGCCTCAGCGCATGCCTGGCACATAGGAGCATTCTGTAAATGGTGGCTTTGTGCATGTAAAAGTCTCTTTGTAAAGTTTTGCAGGCTTGGGAGGCTATTGTTGGTTCTAGAATATGGGAGCAGAAAATAGGCTCTTATTACCCACATCAGACAAACTTATTTTGTAGTCTGAAGCCATGCGGTTGAGGCAAATGTAGCACATGCCTCCCTATAGTGATAGCCAGCTCTCTTCAGCCAGGGAGAGGTCCAGATGCTGCACAGCTCGAGAAAAGACCCTCACCAGAGGAGTCACAGAGGGACCTTGCCACATGTGTATAATCAAGAGGTGTCTTGGGGCAGTAACAGAGTTCTTAGCTGTCAACACCAGTCTATCATTTGGTGCTTATGACTCCCTGGGGAAGTTGGAGTTACTGTCCCTGTGGACATTTTAAATCACATAGCTGGTAAGCAGGAAGAATAGCTGAAACCAGTTTTTCCAGACTGAATTACTGGTTGGGTGAACTTAGACAAGTTACCTAACCTTGGTGATTCAGTTTATTTTTTTCAACTGGGGGGAAAAAAGTAAATTAGTTCCCTTTTGTAGGCCTGACACGATAAAGTAACTTCAACTCGTGTGTGGACCTGAGTAAATATTCAGTAAGCATTTATTTTGCTTCAGATATAAATCACATTTTCTTTTTGTGACCCTTGGGACTTGATCTTTTTGCTGACATTAGAAGAAATGGATGCACAGTGAGGGTTGAGATTAGGTAGGGAGGCAAAGTCAGGAAGTTTATTGGAATCAGACCCACCTCTGGCTCAGGCCTCCCTCTACCCACAGCTGCCCTCATGATGGATGAGCTGAATCCCTACACCAAGATCAGTCCAGCTCTGGGAGCAGAGCGGCACTCAGTGGGTGCTGTCACAGGCATCATCCTCCTGCTGTTCCTGGTTGTGGTACTGCTGGGCCTGTTTGCCTGGCGACGGAGGCGGCAGAAAGAGAAAGGCCGGGACCTGGCTCCCCGTGTCTCCTATACCCCAGCCATGAGGATGACCAGCACAGACTACTCTCTCTCAGGTCAGGCTATGTCCCAGCATCTCTTCCTCACCCATACAACCCAGCAGGAGGCCTATGATCTTCTCAAGAAGATCTACATTCTTGGTTCGACATGGGTGGTTATAACTGCAGAGTGGGTGGCTGGGTCTGGGGATGGTCACCCCATAGAGAAAATGGGGGTTGGAGGAGTCTGTGGAGTTCCAAGAAGGTGTTGCTTCCTGGAGCCCAAGCTCCTAGGAGCTCAAGCTGGGTGCCACCTCCCACATCCCCACCCTTCTTATTTGGCTGTGTCTACAGGAGATACATAGTAAGAAGAAACTTTTCTAAGCAACCCAGAGGACGATTCCCTGTGTGAAGCCTGAGCACCTTGGCAGCTGTGCCCTACTGCTGTTTGCTTTCCCTGGGAAGGGCCTCAGGCCATCCCTGAGGAGTGGCCCAGAAGTGTAGTAAGGGGTGGTGCCTCACTTAAGAGAGGTCTGCAAGTTTGGTTAGTGTCCTTTTGGCAGGTGTGCCAGAGCCCTGTGTGCTTAGATATGGTAGAAATGCCAATGGGCATTCTGTGGTAGTCTGAGTGAGGTATGTATGTAACTGCACCAGATCCTTTCTCTCCTCTGAACTGGACCTCGACGAGAAGGCTTTGTGCTTTATATTTAGCTAACAGTAGAGGCTCCCATGTATTGGCCCTAGTATTGGGTAGATTTTGCACTGTTGAGAAGAGGGTGGTGACTTTCCAATGGCTCATAGCTGATCTATAGCCTCCTGTACCCATGCTTAATTTAAGAGCACCTAGACCACATCTGCCATTCCTACCAAGTGTTGCCTGCTGCGTGCCAGGAACAGGATAGACAATACTGGCCTCAGTATAGACACTGCCTTCAGAGACCTCCTGGACACTCCAGGGTCCAGCCAAAGCCAACATCCTCTGATGAAAGCCCAGGGCCATCAAGATTTGGCAGTTTTCTTTTATAATGACAATGAGCAGGAATGGCTGGGTTTTCTCCAATCCTATAGAATCCTCCGAAGAGCTGGGGTCAACAAAGGAAGGCCAATCCACCTAAAATAGCAACTCAAAGACATAAGGCCATCAGAGCCAGCAGTCAATAGCTTCCAGCTGACCACAACACCCCTATATTAGCAAGCCTGGTCTGTGAGCTACACAGAAAGCTGGCATTACTAAGAACAAAACACAGCTGACTCTCTCACTTGCTTTAGGGCTACTGAATGGCAGGCAGCTTGGAGGATGTGGGGGATTTGGCTGTCTCTTTGTGGGGGATACTCGAAAATACCCAGCCCAGCATTAGTTTTGGGGGCATTGCAACCAAGGGCAGGTATATGATGGAATATGGCTCCTTGTTCTCTTCCCAGATTTGTCTCAAAGTAGCAGCCATGCCCAGTGCTTTTCCAATGCCAGCTACCACACACTGGCGTGCGGGGTGCCTGCCACCAGCCAGGCCAGCACTCTGGACAGGAACAGCCCCACCAAGGTACTGGCCCCCTGGCTCCCCAACCCTCACCGACTATCCTCTTCATTTAATACTCCCTTCTGCCCAGGAAGGAACTGCACCCCCACATAGAGACTGTGGAACTTCTACATTAAGAGTAACCCTAGCATCCATGGGACGTGAGAACACTTTGAATCATGTAACTGGTAAAGAGTATGTTGTATGGAGACAGCAAGCTCTATCCCATGCAACTACATCATACTGCCCACTCACTGGAACATGCGTGCACCTTGTGTATAGATAACTAGTACCTACCAGAACCACATGCAACCATCTTATTCCATACCTGTGTATACCATGTAGCCATTTTGGTCGTAGGCCAATACATGTACTCAAAATGTATGTGCTTACCACAAACTATTGCAGTGTGTTAGCAATATACTCTGAAGTAACTCACTATTCAATTAACCATTTGATGCCTCTTTAACTTGGGCATAAATGTCATCAATACACACATCAGATGAGAACCCAAACACTAGCTAGTGGACCAGTTGTGTGCCCTCCCTGACAGCTCCAAGCGCAGCACTGGGTCATATAATAGGTAGATGTCCTTAGTCATAAATATTACAAACCTTAGAGAGAGATGCCTCATCACATTTGCGTGTAGACAGCATGCAGTACATCCCTTGATGGACCAGCAAGAGGTAGAGTGAGAGACTGAGACATGAACAACCCCAAGTATAAGGTTTGTGAGGGGCTCTTGCTGTACACACCTCCTGACACCCACCTAAGCATGTGCCAAACACACATACTCAGAAGGGCAGGACCATTCGGTGAGTGACAATCTCAGGATACATGGCTTCCTTTACCATCATCTATCCTGGACCAGGAGCATAGCTTTCCTATTTTAGGTTTCTTCCTTGGAGCTCTGAGAATTTCTTCTTCCCTATCTGTCCTTTGAAGAATGACCACCAGTCCACAGATCTGGGGGCTGCTTTTCTATGAAACAGGCAAGCTGCATTCAGGTTACCTAGAGGTCCAATAGCTTTGGCCACTCTGCCTGCCATCTTCTACTCAAGACTCTTGTATTCAGGCTTCATTCAGCTTTAAGCTTGAGGAGCTAAGAGAAGAGAATTTAGTTACCCAACAGATAGCCCTTGATTAACTATAGCCATGTTATCAAAGCAGCAGTAGGCTAGAGCCACAAGCCATGGATGAGACAAAGGCTCTAGGCCATGACATTATTTGTACAAGAGCCAGCTACACTTTCAGTAGGAGACGGTTTGGCAGCCCTGTGTAGACAAGAACCCCTCTTGGCAGACAGAACATCTGGAGCAAAGGTAGGCGTGATGCCATGGAAGGGACAGGCAGCTGAGACCTGAATTCTAGAGCCAGCTTTGCCTCTGGCTCTTGTGTATCTATGTCTCATGTCTGAAATAACATCCTTGCCTCACATAAAGAACAGCTAAGAGAATGCAGGGACATGACTGCATCATTAGTCTCATGACTGGAGCTCTCCCTTGGTCACATGAAAGAGACTCTCATATATGGCCCAGGGGCAAGCACTGCAGGTAGCTCCTACTTCTGTGCTGGGGATGCCCTGTATTTCAGAAGGGAAACTGACAGAACAACCCAGTTCTGCAGCATAACCCCGTATGTCATAGGGGCCTGCGAATTTGGTTTGGGCATATGCTGTTTTCATCGGCCTCAACTACAGCATGGTAGCTTGTCATATAACATCTACCTGGTCCTCCTTTACTCAGTTAATCATCTAGGGCCTGGGAGCACAGAAGCATCTTAGGGATGGGTACACTGAGGCTGGGCCAAGGGCCAACTTGGGGAAGGGCAGCTGAGGCATGAGGTATTAACTGGCTCTCCTCTCCAAACAGCTGAGTAACAAGTCCCTTGACAGAGACACAGCAGGCTGGACCCCCTACAGCTATGTGAACGTGTTAGGTCAGTAGTGGTTTGAGTCATCTTCCCCATCAGTCCCACCCTGATCTCTGTACTGAGCAAGAGTCCTGAGCATGGCTTTCCCTGTGGTATACAAGGAGAGCATGGTTGTGGCCCAGTGACTACTAGGGATGGGATGTGGAGATTTCCAGGTGGAAACAGAAAGTGTATTTGCCACACGGAAAAAGGATCCTCTGCCCGGCACTTTTCAAGGCCTTTTCCCCTCTGCCCTAGTGGAGGGCGGAATGGGATGGGAGGGGAGGAGAAAAGGACAGGTAACCCCAGCCTTTTTGACTGCTACATGGAGATCTTGATTCCTTCTGGCCTGCCCCTTACCCTACCCTATGCTTCCCATCCCCTTTTCCTGCCATCCAGGCCCTGGGAATAATGGCTCCTCCCTGTCATTCCTCTCACTAGACTCCCATTTCCAGATCAGTGCCCTGGAGGCCAGGTACCCGCCCGAGGACTTCTACATTGAACTTAGACACCTCAGCCGCCACAATGAGCCACACTCACCAGGTCAGACCCCCCAGCCTTTCCTTCCACCCTGAGAACAGACTGCTCTACACCCCATGGAGCCTTCCCAAGATTAGTCTATAGCCCCTATGCCCTACCCAAAGGCAGTAGTTTGTACCAGTCCTTCCTACTACCCTTTCACCCTCACCACGCTAGCTGATATGGACAAATTGGGGTTGCTTATGGAGGGGACACAACCTAGCTGTACTCTCCATTCTGCAACATGCAACCCAATAATGGTGTAGGTAACAGTAGGTTGGCTCTCTGGAGAAAAAGTTCAATGATTCCTAGAAAGGCCCCAGACCTAACAGTGGCTCAAACTGTATCTTCTTAGAAAATGACGTGGAGTTATTGACAAGAAACCAGGAAAAAGTAGGCAGTATCTCCCATTGAGCTTAAACATGGCCTGAGAGGGCTGTGAAAAAGACACTTGGCAACTGAGTTATGAAAGGGGAAACACATGTATCAGTTACAATAATGAATGTCAAAAGTGTACAAAGGATGGACAAGGAATGTGGCCTCCCTACAAAGTAGCTCCTGTAGGGCACCCTGGGGCAGTGCCTCAGAATGCTAGAGAACTCTAGGTTTGAGTTTGGGCTTTAGGTGATTCTTAGTGCTCCATTGACACTAAGTCAACTTCCACAGGTCTCTAGTCCAGGAAGCATGAAGTTCAGAATTCATTCTGTTGAGTAGGCATGCTTGCAAGGACCCTGCTGGCTGTGGGTTTCTCAACTATGGCTAGGCATTCCATACCCCCAGGACTAATACAATCTCTACCCTCACTTCACCCTTGAAGTCACTGTGATCCAAATAGAATGGGAGCACCCAGGCATCATCTGGGCTCAGCCCTAGTTCCTCCTTGTTCCACAGACTTTCAATCACTGTAGCCTTTGTTAGCTCACAGCCAGCTAGGCTGTGGCCTTTGGGAAAGAACACCTGAGGTGATCTAGGCTCACCACAACTCAGCTTTGTAGTTGCTTGTATATTCTTAAGTCTCTGACACTCTTTGGACTGCTGTTTCCTAAAAGGAGTGGGGAGTAGGGGCTAACATTGTAGGCACCCTCCATTCTTTAAGGAGAACAAAGGAAGCCCTTGACTATTAAGTGTTAAACTGAGGTCAGCATGACTTGCTGCAGGTTTTTAAAGGGTATGGGTTCCTTTGGGACTTTTAGAATGGCTTGCTTTCTGCTGTACCACTCAGGAAGGTGTATAAGGTGGGTATATAGGCACGAACTCCTGCAAATTCAACTCGGGAACTCGATGTGGAGGAAAGATCCAAGGATCAGTGGATTTGTTTGTGGGCAAGTTAGGTGCAGTTAAATTATATTTTAGTAAGTATTTGCCAACTGCCTTGCCTGGTACTGTTTTCAGTTAAAGCCGAAGGTGTATCTGGTTTAAGAACTCATATTGCTCGATTCCCAGCACCCATATCAGACAGTTCACAACCACTGAAACTCCAGCACAGCTCCAATACCTCTGGCATCTGTATTCATGTGTACTCATAGGCTATATATTTATATAAAAATAGTAATCAATCTAAAAGAACAAAAACCAACAAAACAAAGCACCAGAGTGAAGGGAGAGGGTTAACTGTGAGTTAATCATTACTGTCCCAACTTGGAAAAGCCAGACTTGGTCCCATCCCTGGGATCACTTGTAGCAATCAACTCAAGTTTATGTCCTGCTTCTGGCTAGGGCTCAGGACCATGTATTCTGGGAACCTAGGAAAAAACTAACAGCAAAATGAAGAAAGAAGTCCTAAAGGCTGAAAAACACTGGCAACATTTTCAGAAACAAAGCTCTACTTCCCCATGCCCTTCAAAGTGAGTAACTGAGCAAGCTGGCTGTGGCCAGGAGTGATTGTTCTTCCTGGAAAGTAACTAAGTACCTCAGCTACTTGTCGTCTTCTCTCTGGCTCCCATCAGAGCTAAGAGGTGAGAAACCCTGTCTCCAACTCCATTCTAAAACCAAGGGAAAAGAGAATCAGAATTCTCTTCATCGTTCCCTCCAGATAAGGACTGGTCTGGCTTCATTTTTTACCCTGTGTGCCTCTAGAACCTGGCACTTCACCTACAGACACCAAAGGTGGCATCCTGAAAGGCAGATGCAGGCCAAGAGGAAAGCAATAACAACAACAACAGGGGGTGCTGTAGCACATCTTAATGTGATAAGCCCTTTAAGAATCCCTCTATGCTCAAAACTATTTAGAATAGATTAAATCCAGAATAATTTGCTAGGAGTAAACCATTTTCTGTGTAAAAAAGAAAAAAGCAAGGGTAGGGGGAAGCCACCAACTGTCTAAGGAAATCTCACCCTGTATTTTCTTTCCTTCTGTTTTTATGCAGGCACTTGTGGACTGGACAGACGTCAGAACACATACATTATGGACAAAGGCTTCAAAGGTAGAGTATCTAATCCTGATGTCCTGTTACCTATCTGAAATGGCAAGGAATTCTGCCAGAAAGAAAACTGCAAACCCTGTGCCACTTAAAAAAACAAAACAAAAAAGCTAAAAAGGTCACAGGACCCAGAGCCACTGGGTGGCTCTGTCCAGGAGGAGCAATCCTAATAATAATGAATTCATCTTTCCATTGCAGTTACACCTACTTAGCAAATGCTTGTGGGTTTATTATAGATGCCAACTAAATGTCTTCGGAAATGTAGATCATCATTATTCAACCAATTAGTACGAGTTAAATTGATTATAAATATGAAATAAAGTCAATCTACCTGCCCCAGAGGCCTTCTGTTGTTGTACTGGCAAGGACCACCACCCTGCACCTGCTGCCTTTCTGGGGCACAAGGAATGCAAATGATGCCCAGTGTTAACAGCCCTACCTTCGAGAGATCTCTGCGCCCATGAGCAGGGAAGTCAAGACAGATCCCTACGCCACAGGAACTACATGCAAGGTGGACCATCCCTCTAGGAAGTCTACAGGTGAAGCCAAAAATCAAAGATCAAGTCCAGCCCCCCCACCCCAATTAGGTCCTAGGTTTAAATGCTGGAACATGTGAGCTAGGTAGGGTGCTTTGGAACTCTGTCACTTATTAACCATGTGTTTCATAAGGTTGTTTCTTCATCTGCAAGGTTGGGATAATTATGCCAGTCCTGTTGACTCATGCCTGTCTTATTATCTAACAAGGTTATCTTGGGTATCCAATAAAGTCGGATGGGAAGTGCTTTTTCTATATCATAAAAGTGGTACCAACGTGATGTCTTTGGGAATGTCTCAAAGTCTCAGTCAAACTGAAAGAGCAGTAATAAGTCAGCAAAGATCCTAGCTGCTAGTCTATATCTACCTCTGCACCAGAATCACCCTGCAAGTGTGTTCAAATTGCAGGTTTATACCCACATCAAATTCTGCTGCAGTAGATGGAGGCAGGGGCTATACTCTACAATTGAGAGGAGTACCTTAGGCTATTCTTAAGTAACTTATTATCCAACTATCATTTGTCTAAACTGCCCCAGGACAGACTTCCCAGGTTTCTGTTCTGATCTTTGAGACCTAGCATAGCTATCTCCTAACCAAGGAGAGGATCTTATGTACTACAACTCTTAGGAAGTTGGCTATCAGGAGTGAGATGAGCAAAACGCAGGCAGTAGTGTGTGCTACAAGAAAGAGAACAGCAGAGCTGAGTGACCATCAGCATGCTTTAAGATATGCAAAGGAAGCCGGGGGGGGGGGGGGGAAAAAAAAAAAAAAAAAAAAAAAAAAAAAAAAAAAAACACCAAAGCCCAGGGAACTGTCTGAGGAGGGAGGCCATTTTCAAGTTCTAAGCCCATAGGCAGTATTCCCCTTGGAGCTTGATTATGGCAAGTTTCTGAGGGTTCAGGCTTAAACCATCCAAATGGAGGCAAACACCATTTCAGTATGTGAGGCTTCCAACAGAAAAGCCATATGCCACTCATTCACTATGACACAAAATCTGTTTCTCAACATGGAATGGGAACTAGAGAGCTCTCCCAAGGCCTTTGAGGCTCTGAGAAGATGGATGATTCAATGGAGAATAGCTCAGATGGGCCCCCAGACTAGTATACAAACACACCTTCCCTGTACACCTTGTTATTCTATGCATGGTGATTAGGGTAACTACTTTTAAACTCAAAACCATAAATGTAAAACAAAGCCAATGAAAGCCAGGCTCTGCCTCAGCATCATTGCATTCCTGTCTAATGGAATCATCTGAGTGCATAGGAGGCTCTCACAGGCAAGCAGCCAGATTCTGTTTCACAACTGGCTCTAATCAGGCTTTAAATTAGAACTGTGTAGGCAAATGTGCATCAAGAGTTGGGGGCAAACATGGCACAACAGAGTTCAAAAAGAGGACAGTGAAATATCAATGTAGAACTTAAATATCAGTGTATGGAAATGCAACAAATCCTACCAGCTACTTCGTATCACTAATTTAAGCTATTTCCTAAAGCAACGGGGGCAAGCCAAACCCAGCAGGACTAATTAAGAGTCTAGGGTTTCACTAAATTTGAGTATGTGGGGGTGTAGAGCAGGGGGTGGCTTGCCAGAGAATGAAAAGATCTGGGTTCCAGTTCAGCTGTATGGTACTCACTAGACACAGCAGTATGTGTGGGTCTTGCTTGGGTTTTCTTTCTTTTCTTTTTTTTTAAGGGCAGTTGTAATCCCACCATCTCTAAGGCCCTTTCCAACTCTGACATTCTAAAAGTCCTAATTCAGGTAACATCTACTTTTTTCTCTAACTGGGAACTCCACTCACTGTCACCCTAGGAGGTTGAAGGAGACTGCTTACACAGCAAAGCAGCTGTCTTCCCTTTTCTCCTTCAGCATAATTACTATACAAGAAATTATTTCATGTCCAATTCCTTCCTGTCATGCTTTCAAAGTGTGACAGAAGAAAACTCATTTCTCTCCACCTTCTGTCTGGGAATTCTTGAGCCTGTACTGCCATTCCCCCAACCTGTGCTCCCTGCTACCCACTCCTTCAAGTAACTCTGGGTTCTCAGACATTTAGAAGCCCACTGACATCCTGACAACTCTTGTGGACACCACCTGACACTCACACAGGTCCCATCCCTCCCCATATACTATGTCTCATTGAAGTAAAGGATGCTAACTTAACCTCAGGAACAGAAGCAGCAGTGTGGCCTCCTAATGATAGCAGAAGCTCACAGGTGAGAAAAAGATACCTAGTGCCTGGGTTTCCACATACATTTGAGTAACTTGGGCCTTAAATGGGCATCAGGCCGTAGTAGGTTCAGAACACATTCAGAAAGCAACTTTGGGAAGTTGTTTCCTCTCTAGACTTGTGCTTCCTCAAAAAATGAAGACGTTCAGTTCAGAAATCCATCTTGACTGTGATTACATGCACAACTGCTGAGGGTCCAGAGGAGGAAATAAGGACAGTAAATGCCAAGGCACTTGGAGGACTGCATGCTTCCCCTTTCTTTGCACAGAGCCTGAGGAGCAGGCACTGGGTGGGAGTGGGGTTGTGGAGGGATGAGGAAGTATCCTAGCCCAGCTGGTTATTCTTCCCCACACCCTGCTATCACAGCAGGCAGGTGGATGACTCAACAAGAGAAAGGCTTGGCTTCCTGGGGCTGAGTTTTCTAGCTTGTTTACCCCATATCTCCTCCAGTTTCCAGCAGGGATAACTCCATGGATTTCTCCATCCTGTCTTGGCCTGCAAACCTTGTATAGAAGATTCTCAGTTCTTAATCTAATCCCTCACCCCAGCTCCAACTTAGCTCAGGAGAAGGAATATACTGAAATGGATAAAATCTAACATTACATCATCAAATATTGAGAGCAGCTCACTGTTTCACTTTCTGGTGAAAACACAGCTGGGTAAGGCTCTCAGGCTTTCCCACTACTCTAACTCAACCACTAAGCCTGAAGTTTAGCCTTTCTTCTCAGCAGGCCTTGGTATTTCTAGGAAGGATAAACTGAAGCAGCTGTAAAGAGCTTACACTCCAGGTTAACTAGATATGCTGATGGAAAAACATCATGATTGTCAGATAAGAGAGTGGTTGAGTCCTAAGCACTGAGCATTAGACTAACAAACTTTGAGCTTTGGTTTCCTCATTTCTAAACAGTAATAGCAGTCCCTTCCTGCCCATCCCCCCCACCAAGTTTCTTTCTTTGGTTTGAAACATGGTCTCACTCTAAAGCCCTGGCTGGTGTGGAACTTGATGTGTGAACCAGGCTAGCTTTTGCCTCCCAAATGCTGTGATTACAGATGTGCCCAATCACACCCAGCGTCTAAATTTCGAATAACAAACTGGATTGAAGGTCACTCTTCAAGTACTACACAAAATAAACATTCCCCCATTCCACATAATATATAACCAACACAGTGGTGATTAGTAACTAACAGCTTTCATACAAGAAGTCCTACACCTCTCCCTCTGCCTGATGAGTTTAGACCAACCATATTGGGACTGACTGGGGGGTTTTCAGGTTCACACCTCTCTCCTGTACTAAGGCAAACTAAAATGGCTTGAGGCAAGTCACAATCCAGAACCCAGGCCACCTTTCTCTATGTGGTTAGGCTTCCACCAGTAGAAGTACCTATTTACCTTCAGTCCCAGCTAGAACTGCCTGAGACTGCTCATTATCTAGCAAGAATGTTTTTTTCTTCCTCCCTGAGTCAGGTGCTACACAAAGGTCAGTCTTAGACCAACCAGACTAAAGCCAACTTCTCTCCCAGCCTGTGAGCTTTGAATTTGCTTCTGGAACTAGTTTTGTTACTGAGAGGCAGTGGGACCATGAGGAGTTTACTTTCCCACTCTAAGTCTCAATTTCTTCGTAAGCACTGACAAGAGGAGGGGGGAGTTACTGCTCTGCTGTGTCACAGCACTCTGAACACCTGAAGGATCTAGCAGGTGAATGCACTGTTACATAAAACCAAGGAAATACTTCCTTCTAAAACAAGACCTGCCAATGGGCAGAGTAAATCCTTCTGCACCAGCCCTGCTACAGAACAGACCATTCATGGTGGTGCACATCTGTTACTTCAGCCACTCGCACACCCAGGTCCCCTGGAGTCACGTGGCTTTCACTTTCTAACATTTTCAGTAAAATCACAGCTGGGGCAGGGAGCTTAGATAACAGCCCCAAATGTAAACTCTGGTGGTTGTAGTGAGAAGATTCCCTATGAATTTCACCAGCTAACTTCCACAGACTTTAGAAGTGAGAGGCCTCTTGACTGTCAAGCTCTTGACACCTTGCCTGCCTCACAGCTAAGGGTCACAACTGTCAGACTAGTTTACTGCACACAGATAGAGCATCACCCCCAAAGGGAAGGAGAGTAGCAGTTAACTACTGTGACTCTAGTCACTAAGGGATCTTCTTCCTTCAGTAGAGTTACTGTCACTTCATCTCATTTTTATTAGACATCATTCTGCACCCTTGTGCAACTAAAGTTCTAATTATAGAGAAGGGTACAACTGAAACAAGCTCCAGTCAACATTTCCAAGGACCGGGGAAGATGAGCCTAGACTACACTTTGAGCTTGCTAAGACACAGGTACCTTTGAAAAAAAGGCCACCTTGAAACTGAGGGTTTTTTTAGACCTGGTACACTTCAGTTAGCCCACTCTAAGGATAAGGTCCTGAAAGACAGGGATGCTGCTATTTGCTAAAAGCTGCTAAACTGTTGACATCTATACTAAAACACAAATATGCTGCTACTGTTGCTTCTGAACCAGAGTTTCTAGTCATTATCCAGAAAACATGGGGCAAAGAAGTCCCAGAGCACAGATTTAAGTCTTGGCTTTGCAGTGACATTTACTAGCTAATGACCATAGCCAAGTTTCTGTATCTCTCTGTGTTTCCACACCATAACATACCAGCTAGCATTTGTGTAACATAAATGATACATGCAAATGCATACTGTGAATAATCTTGAGCTAGTGTCGGATGATAAAATCTAGCCATTTTCTTTTTTTTTTTCTTTCTTTTTTGGTTTTTCAAGACAGGGTTTCTCTGTGGCTTTGGAGGCTGTCCTGAAACTAGCTCTTGTAGACCAAGCTGGTCTCAAACTCACAAAGATCCATCCACCTTCTTCTGCCTCCAGAGTGCTGGGATTAAAGGCGTGTGCCACCAACACCCGGTGCTAAAACCAGCCATTTTCTTATCCTCCAACAAATTTCTATGGGAAAAGAATGCCTAACTGAGAAAACATACCTTAAGACATTGAATAAGATGTCAGTAAGATGTCCAATATCATATAGTCTTTTCAACCCCAGAATCCTAAAGGCACACAAACCGGACTGCAGTCTGTTTCTGGTATTTAAATGAATTCTTACGTTCTCATTTGTCCTAAGAAATCTCTCTTGCCTTGCAGATTACATGAAAGAATCTACATGCAGTTCTAGTACTTGTTCCTTGAACAGCAGTGAAAACCCTTACGCCACAATTAAGGATCCACCCATTCTCACCTGCAAGCTTCCAGAAAGCAGCTATGTAGAAATGAAGTCACCTGTGCACATGGGGTCTCCGTACACAGATGTGCCGTCCTTGTCGACATCTAATAAAAATATATATGAAGTTGGTAGGTGTCTCACATAAGTAACTTAGCAAAACCAGGGCAACAGTGCAGCATCTCAAGTGAAAACAAACCCTCCTCCACTCATTCTGTCTCAACACACTCCTCTGTTTGGCTGCAATTGAAGGAACCTGAGGAGAAACTCCGTCCCAGGACTGCCCTCCCCTCTAATGCAGGAAAACAAAATTTTGTGCCACTCTGCTTACAAATCACAACTAATAAGCAGTAGAAATAGCCAGGGTGGGGAACCAGTATACAACACTTAGACTGAATGTTGTTTGAAAAAGAAAACAATCATAACCGCTGTTTGCAAGTTTTTAAATCACTTCCTTACACTCCTGATAGCTTCACGTCTAATCATAGAGGCATTCATAAGACCCACACCTTTAGGATGTCCTAAACCTCTCGTTGAGCAGAGGCTGGAATTCTGACAGTACGCTCCCTTAGGTCTCCATCTCTAGAGCAAGCCTGTCCTGATCCTCGTGTATTGGTCAGATTTATATATCCAAAGTTCCTCTCCCCAACAAGTTAAATAGAACTTTCATCCCTCCCACAAAAGCAACAAAGCTAATCTGTTCTCTGAACTCATTTTTCACTATATTCCTTAGAGCCCACAGTCAATGTGGTCCAAGAAGGCCGAGGTCATAACTCCAGCTATATCCAGAATCCATACGACCTACCTAAGAACAGCCATATTCCTGGTCATTATGACCTCCTCCCAGTAAGACAGAGCCCTGACCATGGGCCCTCCCAGGACAAGCAGTAAGAGGGATAAGCTTCTCTCTTAGTGTGCTCTGCTGACTATTCTCTGACTCTGAAAGAAGACAATTGATGACCTGAAATATCAGTACAGATTGACCTGGATTGAAAGAAGCACTTCCAAATGGGATTGGGGTAACTGTTCAAGAAAGTCTGTTCAGAAAGGCAAAAACTATCACCTTCAGCCCTAAATGCCCTGGGTATGATTTTTAAAACATTTAAGATATTGCTACTCATCAACATCTGCTAAATTCAGCTAAAAGATATGTACTTAATATGCCTGAAGCAATGCTTAAGATGCATGTAGCTTAGGTTTTACAAACTTTCCTAGGAAGAAAAGGGGCCTGGGGAAGGAAAAGGGGCAGTTTAAAGCACCTGAAATGTGATGTGCTATTGATTGTTGCTACCATCAACATCTGTTTCGTGTATGTAAGAGAACTGGTACATGGACATGAATTGTTCTAATATTAATCATAAAGTCTGTATACATATAGGTATGGTCCATCAAATTATAAGAGCCAAAATTGGAGTTTAAAATACAGCATACTTCTGACAACTTGCGTTTTCAAAAACAAGAATTTAATAGAGTCCCTTTCTTCTGCCCCATCAGTGATAGTAGGCAAAACAGAAAAGGAGAAGAGTAATTATTTCAAAAGTGCAGCTGTTTCACGATTTCTATGCCTGCTTTACCAAATTTTGCCCAGTAAAAGCTCAATAATGATGAGCACCAAGCCAAGTGGTGGTGGTGGTGATGCACACCTTTAATCCCAGCACTCAGGAAGCAAAGGCAGGTGGATCTCTGTGAGTTCCAGGCCAGCCAGAGTCCCAAGACAGACTCCAAAGCTACAGAGAAACCCTGTCTCGAAAAACCAAGAAAGGAAGGAAAGGGAAGGGAAGGGAAGGAAAGGGAAGGGAAGGGAAGGGAAAGGGAAAGGGAAAGGGAAAGGGAAAGGAAAGGAAAGGAAAGGAAAGGAAAGGAAAGGAAAGGAAACCCCAGTCCCAGCCTGGCCTGCCTGCATTGCATTAGTACACATACACCTGAGTCATTCTGTGTGCACCAGAGAACTAAGCTGCTGCTTTAAGAAAGCAGTTGCAGGGCTGGAAATGTAGCTCTGAGGAAGAGCACCTGCCTAGTGAGCAAGGCCCTGGGGTAGATCACCAGCATTATAAAAAAGACATAGGCTGATAAGAGTTAAGTTTCCCTAGATACTATCCAATTGTCCCATTCAATTTACTTAGTTGGAGTCCCTTGACTTTTTTCAAGCAGTTCTTCATAGATGGCACTTGATGTAGCAAGGAACCTAAAAGTATAGAAGAAATTACACAAATGTGGGCATGGCAAGCTTATGTTGCTTAACATACATTATACTTTTAGATGGAATAAAATGAAATAAATGTAAAAAAAAAAATTTAAAAGCCCATCACCTACTGAGATGGGAAAAAATGTACTCCATTAGTTGGTGCTTTAATTCAGTTAAGTCCATAACTTCCACTGCACAGTGTAAATAGCAGGTAAACCGAGACTTGGACAATTCTGAATGTGGCTAATTCCCAATTCTTATAGGGTCCCTTCACAAGAATTAAGAACAAAAAAGGGCAAACAGGAAGTTAATGGCCACCTTTGTGCCACCCCAAGCTCTTAAACAGGAATAAGGGTCTAGCCGGTGAAAATTACCTAAAAAGGGTTTTACAGAAGAGGGACTAGGAAGACTACAAATCTGGATACTGCTATAGGAAGTGGGGTTGATACTAACTGGGAGTCAGCTTGGAACCCCTTAATTTGGGTAAGAATCAGCAAAAGCAAGAAAATAAATATATAAGCAAATCTTCCTCCTCACTTCACTCAAGGCATAAGCCAATTTTAGCATTAGAGGAACACAAACATGAATGCTGCATGTGTGCATGGAAGCGAGTGATCAGCAATAGTAAACTTTCCAAAAAGCCTTATTAAAATAGAAATACTAGAAAATTTGTAGGCCTAAGTTAATATTTCTCATACATATGTATAAAGAAATAGAATTAAGAGACTCACCTCAGTATTTCAGGGCCACAAGTGCTCAATTATCTTTGTGAAGCAAGGATGAAGAAGCATGGCAAAATCCAATCAGCAAAGAGAAATGGCATCTCAATCCCAGGCTTTATCTTCTTCCCTGATTATCCTGCATGTACAATAACTGCTACCTAGCAAGCTGCAATCATGCAAATTCCAAGTCTCACTTCTCTCTTGCCAACTAACCTCTGCACAAAAGTATCCTGCAAGAGGTGGGATGGCTAGAGTACCAAGTCAAGAGATGTTGGCACCACTCTGGTTAAGTCACTTGCCCTCTTTGGGCTCCTTTATTTCCCACACATGAAAGAAAAGACACAGAGTGGGAGCAGAGCTCTAACAACTCTCCAACTGTAGTCCTCTACAATATTTAAAGCAACATAATTCAATCAGGCAATACAGAGGAGAAGGGAAAGGGAAAAGATATGATTAACTGTGGTGACAACAGCAGCCTTCACATAGCTAAAAGTTTCACTAAGACATTTCAATCATGCAGAGCAACTGTTAGGAATTTCTGTCTAATAATCACAAATAGATTTGCAGTCAGCCTAAACATGTGCATTGTGCATTCTATTGATGATTTGGAAAGATCTGTTCAATTATTTTCCAAAATGAAAACTTCAATCCAGTAAATTAATATGTATACAAGTCAGACAAATAACGAACACAGTTATTGTGCAATAGTGTGAGAGACTATGAAATGGCAATACTTTTTTAAACCACAGATTTGTAATATATTTGTTCACTGTGCAGAGGGACTGTACCTCAAACAAAATAAAATGGATTTCTCAAACTAATTCACTAGAATGCCTACTGTTGTTTTGCACACTGAAAATCTATAATCTACATTTTATGTTTAAGACAGAACTACCTACACTTGGTATAGTTACTTTAAACAATTGGAAGAATGAAAATTATCACAATAGATGCTTGAAAAATTAAGTGAATGGTTATTTTTAAAGTAACACATGAGATTTACTTAATTCATGTGAAGTATTTTAAAATCCCACTCACACCAGTATTAGGTTTTTCTGTTTTCCCAAGAATGTGCACTCAATGGCAACTATTACAACTTATGTTACCCTCCAGTGGCACAATGGGCAAGTGTAAGGACTACTTAACTTATATAAATCCAATGAATAGCTTTTGACTAATAGAATTTAGCATATGTACCTGCTTTAGGACTTAAAAAAAATCTTATAAAATAGCTAGGTTTAATATATACGTATATATCTATATTTAAAGAAAAGCTATAAGACAGTTATGATGATTCGTGACTATAGTCCCAGCCCTTAACGAGGCTGAAACAGGAGGATTGCTAAGAGTTCCAGGCCATCCTGTCTCAAAACAAGCAAATAAACAATAAAAGGCCAGGCATGGTGCTGTACTATTGTAATCCCAGTACTCAGGAGGCTAAGGCAGGAGAGTTTCAAGTTGAAGCACCTTGGGTTACACAGTGAGTTCAAGAATAGGCTAGACCTGGGGAAACCCATAGAAACAGCTGACCTGAACAAAGGGCTGCTCATGGACCCCAGACTGACAGCTCAGAAACCAGCATAGGACAGAACCAGGCCCCCTGAACATGGGTGTTAGTTAGGAGACCTGGGCAGTCTATGGGGCCTCTGGTAGTGGAATAGTATTTATCCCTAGTATACAAATGGACATTGGGAGAGGGCCTGGGCCCTGCCCCAAATGATGTGACAAACATTGATGACTCCCCATGGAAGGCCTCATCCTTTTGGTGGAGCAGAAAAGGGATGAGATGGGGGTTGATGGGGGGCATGGGAGGGAGAGGGAACTGGAATTGATAAGATTGTTTCTAGCCAGGCGTTGGTGGTGCACGCCTTTAATCCCAGCACTCAGAAGGCAGAGGCAGGCGGATCTCTGTGAGTTCGAGACCAGCCTGGTCTACAAGAGCTAGTTCCAGGACAGCCTCCAAAGTCACAGAGAAAAAAAAAAAAAAAAAAAAAAAAAAAAAAAAAAAAAAAAAAGATTGTTTCTAATTAAATTTTTTTTTTTTTTAAAAAAAAGCCTAGGCTAGGAGACTCTATCTTAAAAACAAATAAAAGGCAACAGGATTATTTTTTAAGAAAACACACATTACTAAGCACAGCTCAGTAATGGAGCATTTACCTAGCATGCATGAAGGTCTGGGTTCAATTCCCAGTGTCACAAAAGCTTAAAAGAAAATACAGATGTCAAAAAATAGCTTACTGAGCTGGCAAGATGATGACCTGAGTTCAATGCCCATGACCCATAAGGTACAAGATACAAGTTGTCCTCTGACCTCCACATGTAGCTGTGGATGCATGTGCCATGAGCACACACACACAGGCACACACACAGGCACACAAATAAATATACAAAAACTTAAAAAATAAATTCTAGAATGAGTTCATTAAGTTTAAATTTGCTATATATATATATTTTTTTTTTCTCATACTAAGCCAACTCACAATATTACAAGTTGTCAGTTCACAAGGCTTATGTGACACTTAAAAGTTATTTTAGGCTAGATATGGTAACACACTCCCACAACCCTAGCCCTTCAGGAGGCTGAGCTACAAGGGTCTGGAATTCAAAGCCCATCTAGGCAAGTTAGTGAAACGTGTAAAAATAAAGCCAATGTATCAAAGTAAATAAAGCAAATGGCTAGAGATGTTAGCTCTGCAGAAAAACACTTGCCTAAAATGTGTGCAACCCTGATACCACCACCATCATCAGATACACACACACACAAAGTTATTTCAATTTAGTATAATGTTTAACAAAGAATAATATATTTTTGCTACTTAGAAATCAGAGACAATTAACAGGTAATTCTCCAGAGCTGGAGGCTGACACATTTCATGAACAAAGGGTAAACTTATATATACTCTGTGAGTCTCTGAATGTTACTAGTACCACAGAGGACAACCGAGGACCAATGGCTGCATGTCGTGCCCTTGGCATCCATACATTCTATTAGTCATTCGCCTACTTAGAAGGAAGACACAAGAGTTCATCTGGTCACTGCAGCAACAATTGAAAGCCTCTCTAAGGAAGGGTGGATTTGGGAGCTCGTTATAACAGTGCTTTGTAATTTTTTAAAATTACAAGTCTATTTTTATAGAATTGTATAACAATTCTGTGTTATTTTAAACAGTAATTAACTTTCAGATTTTAGCAAAGGACCCCTACACTCTTCCCTCTTATATGTTCTGATATGGTGGTTATCAGGAAGAAACATTCAAAATACAAACAGTACTAAAACCAATTTCCGGCCTGTGGACCTTACAATGAAAACAAAAGGGCAGAGACAAAGGGAGGCCCTGGGGTGCTAATTATGCAGTTTCTTCCTTGATTTACAGAGTACCAAACAGGGGTCCAAACTAACTCCACACAGGTGGAAGCTCTGCTCTTTGACTTCAGTCGTCAGATTCCCTCCTCATTCTAGCATCTGCCCCCTAAACAACTGTCTACCTACCAAACTGTCTACCCTAGAGCCCTGGGTAAGAGGAAATAGGGAACCACAGATCTTACATAATATTGTTATTTATGCATCCACTCTAATGTAAAAAAATAAATGTTAATAAAACTAGTTATATATAAAGCAGTTCCTGGGGCTAGCAAGATGACTCAGTAGTAGGAGCTTGCTGCAGAGGCTGACAACCTGATCCCTGGGATCCACATGGTAGAAGGAGAGAATCAACTCCCTCAGGTTGTTCTCTGACCTCCAACCATGTACTGTGGCATGCCCCATCCCACACCTATTAAGTGTAAAAAAAAAAAAAAAAAAAAAAAAAAAAAAAAAAAAAAAAAAAAAAAAAAAAAAAAAAAAAAAAACTTTAAATGAAATAGTGTTGCTTCTTAAATTGTTCATGTTAGGCAGGTGTAAGGGTATGTGTTTCTATAACATTCTTGGATCCCAATGATGAAAGGTTTTGGCAAAGAGGCCAATACAATGGGCAATAATCCCTTAAAGACATGAAGAACCATACCACTTCCTTGGAGATATATGAAAATGGTCTGCTGAGATACTAATGGTTATCAGTAGGGAATGGATGCTAAAAGCAGGATATCTCCTCAGTGGGATGGTGGTATAAGGATCCAAGAGTTTATGGTGTGAGGAAAGGTTAAGTTCTGCTAACTCAAAAATACAAAAGGAATGTTGTTGACTACTAGCACTGGTACTAGCTAGTATTGGTACAGAGTAGTTAACAGCCAATATACACAATATTTTGTGTTCACATCTGTTAAGAACTACCAATCTCAGGTCCAATAAACGGTAAGAAAATGAATTCAGATAAATTTAACAGATCATATCAACAGCTCTGGAATGTCATTTAATCATGTGCATGCATATATTACCCATACATTGAAGGCTTTTTTGTTTGTTTTATTGAAGTGCACACAGGATCTTGAACAGGATCCTGATCCTCCTGATCCTACCTCCCAAGTGCTATGTGCCATCATCATGCCCAGCTTAGTCACGAGTACTAGACAGCTAGCTCTGCAGGGCCCTATGAAAGATATGAGCTCTTAAAAAGTACACAAGATATTTTTAAAAATTCTCTCCCAGAATGCAACTCAGGTGCAATGGCACATACCTGTCATCCCAAAACTGCAGAGTGGAGACAGGAGTATCAGGAATTCAAGACCAACCTTGGCTACATGAGATTTTGTCTCAACAAAACAAAAAGCCAGCAGATTTTTTTTTTAAACAATAAAAACCATAAAACAAAGCTCTCAGCCAGGTGGTGGTGGTACACACCTTTAATGCTGGTGGTACTCAGGTAGATCTCTGTGCATTTGAGGCCAGCATGGTCTACAGAGCAAGTTCCAGAAGAGGCTCCAAAGAGCTACAGAGAAATCCTGCCTCAAAAAACAAACCAAAAACCCCAAAGAGCTCTCAACTTACAAATGACTCAGCAGCTGATCAAATGCTTCTGTCTTCCTTCATACATAGTATAGTGATACACATGGTTAAAATTGACATTTTTCAAATGTCCTGAAAATTTTTATCTTATTTGGTGAGAATTAACATGGTGACAGATGATTTTAATCAAGATATTAAGATAAAAAACCATTTTTGCAAAGTATTTAACTGATATTTTACTTATCTGTTAAATTTAAGATCTGAGTTAGGGGGCTGGAGAGATGACTCAGCGGTTAAGAGCACTGGCTGCTCTTCCAAAGGACCTGGGTTCAATTCCCAGTACCCACATGGCAGCTCTTAACTGCCCATAATTCCAGTTTCAGGGGACCCAACAACTTCACATGGACATATATGCAGGCAAAACATGAATGCACATGAAATAAAAATAAAGAAATTTAAAAAAAGATTTGAGTTAGAATTCATAATTTTATTTTAATACCTACATGACCCAAAAATGATCTAGTTCAGTCACATCATTATTTCAAACAATTTGAACTAAGAGATGACATAGACAAGAACTATGGCTATAATCTGTCTTTTCCAAGCAGTTTACTGCTGTGTTAGACCCATTAGCTTTTGTTTTGGTTTGGATTGGTTTTTCGAGTCAGGGTTTCTCTGTGTAACAGCTCTGGCCGTTCTGGAACTCACTCTGTAGACTAGACTGGTCTTGAACTCACAGAGTGCCTTTGCCTCCCAAGAGCTGGAATTAAAGATGTGCACCACCACCACCCAGCTTAGTTCAATCTTCTAACTCATGTATAATGCAGCAAATTTTCTAATACCTACCTGGGATACAACATCTTTCCAAACATTCCATTCTCCAATTTTTAGGAAAATGGATACTGTTAGTAAAGTGATCTCTCAGCTAAGATTCTGTCAATGAGAGTAGCATGCTGCATCATTTTATCAGCCTCCTACAATATGGAAGAACACAACCACTCTTTAAAATGTTAGACGGTAACTGTTTTATTGGTAATGTATTCAATCGTGGAAAGGACTATGGTACCAGCACTGCTCCAACCAGGAGAAAGCGTGGGTTGCCTTTTATATCTGGTTTAGTGTCAGGGCACCCTATCTGTACTTTGATAGCCCATTAAACCATGTGAATGTGGCTCCTTTCATAGCCTTTGTCCTTTTTTGTAGCACAACAAATTCAGGTCATATACAATCTAAACAAAAGCCACATTTTATTCTATTTTGGTTTTGTTTTATTTTGAAATAGTGTTCCCTTGTGTGACTCTGGGTATTTGCAGCTTGTTATATAGACCATGTGGACCTCCTGTGTGCTACCATAAAAGGTATGACTACCAGTTTTGAATTTTCTTCAGAATTATGATACATTTTTCTCTTTAGTTAATAACATTTTACAAAATTCTATAAACTGAAAACTAGTAGTTATACATTCTTAATTATCCACCAACCTTCTCTGCTTCTCATGCTGGCCAAAACTGTCCAAATGGTATACCTTTTTCTTTATAATAGATTAAAGAGATTAATTATCACAACAGCTCAAACCACTGAGAGCATTTGGATTTTATAAACACAAGTCAGAAATGACAAAAATTAATTGTCCTAACAACCAAAGAAATAAGACTAGCTCAGATGCACGATTCATACTTTTATGGGTTAACTTTTCTACAGAACATTTTAGAATTTAAAAGACTGATGGCAAAGAACACCGGTTGCAACTTCTACTTACAATTCCAATTTAACATGCTCAGTGGAATGGCTAACGATAACTTACTCTGACATAGTGACTACAAGAAAAGATAGCATTTTCTGAATAACAAAGAAAAGGTGTGATGGCTAACTGGCTTTTCAGGAGAATTTAACAGGTTAAGAAAAACATCTAACAGTTAAAACTAATGAACAGCAAGGTCAAGCACCAAAGTACTTAGGAACTGCTTTGAGCCTAGAGTTGTCCCAGTAAATAAAACTATAATGCTTCCTACTCAGGACAGTTTGTCTCCTGAGATCCAACTCAACATGAAGACTCCTGTTGACATGCAAACAAAGTCACTTTCTAATACCTAATGTTGCTTGGAACTCTCCCAAAATCCAACCATGTCCAAGTGCATTTAAAACTATTCTTGGTTAAAAAAGAATTTAAAAGCTACTCTTAGTCATTTTTGATTTACTACATAATTTCTTTTTTCTTAGCTTTATTTCATAAATCTCCTGCAAATTTTTAATAAATAAGAGATGGAACCTTTCCTTGTGTCTAGTGACACTGTTAGACAGGAAAGTACAGAAACTGTGTCACCATTGTTCCTCGTAATACTTTTCCCAAGAAGAGTATAACCGAACTACAGATCTAAAGCCTCACCTGAATTGACACTGTTGCCCCCCCCCATCCAAGTTTACTCAGCAATGCAAGGAGCTATGTTCTCACTCATCAGAAGCAGTATTCCATGGCTGCATCCAAAGCATTCAACGGAAAAATATAATCTGACAACATTGGGAATAGTCCCCCTATAACTGTTTATTAGGATGAGAATATACTCCAAATCAATAACTAAAAAAAAAAAAAAGTCAAATTACAGAGCATGCATAAAATACAAAGTAGCAATTTATAAATAGACAGTATATTTATAATCAATACACTAAAATAACAATAGCTACAAAAGAAAAACAAAATAACTGACTAGAGCAATGCCTTCTGTGCTCCCCACACATCATGAGCACTGCAAAGAACAGAAGATTAACCATGAAACATAGTCATCTATGCAAGCCCACACATTTTTTTTTTTTGCAGGTATCCCACCATCCTGAACAATATCTTTGCAGTTAACTTTCAGAAAACTGCAGAGTAAGTGCTTAATATTATCCACAAGGAAGTAAAACTAAGTATTAGTGTGCACATTTCTGAATGAGAAACTAGTAGCTCCATTAATTCCAATTATGTAGTGGAAAAATCTATTTCAGGACTACAATGCCTAAGTGCATTCTACTTAAACTCAAGGTACTATTTCATTTTCCATACTGAAAGAACACATGCCTTTAAGTGGTACCACTTGAGCATAAATTAACCTCACTGTATTCTTTAGACATACTAAAACCAAATGTTTAACTGAACTATATTCCATTATACACTGCAGAACTGAAATGTAAGCATTGTTAAAATAATTACCCATGCTTGTTGGTGGATATGGGAATAAAATTAGGCTGTATTTCACTTACTAGAAGGGTTTAAAAACAAAATTAACACTTCAAAATGTCATAATACTAGCATTAAGCTAGTTATTGCATGAGCAATAAAAATGCCACACAGTTTACTGCTGGGAAACGAGACTAGTTAAACTACTCAGGCTGCCGATCACTGCAATAGAGACACCTCAGACAGAAGTCCACTAGCCTGCCAGGCAGCAGGTTAACTTATGACCCCATAACCATGATGCCCTACACAAAATATAACAGTCTTTTATGTTTATTAAGATAATTCTTTTCCAGGAAAAAAGAATCCCCATCATCTTGGATGCTTACAAAAACTAAAGAAAAAATTTACAACATAGACCTATTAAGGCATTTTAGAAATTGACTTCCACAATGGAAAAATCTTCAAGCTCTCAAAATGCTGTTATGTTTATAGGGCAATCCTTAGGTCTGTCAAAATATGTACTGCATTGAGAAGAGTGTCTTACAAGCTGCTCTGTGCAAAATAATAGCTTATTTCTAAGGTTGTCTTAGTTAGATTCAATCAGGACCAATAGGTCTGAGTTTCAAGTGATCAAGTTCTATTATGTTCTACAGTGACAGGCTTCCATGATGAAGAGTAAACAATAACTGAGGAATTCAAACATTCAGTTTATTAAACTAGGGCTAGAGAAGCCATAGCATGAAAAAGAACTGCAGTCATTCAGGACAAAGTTTATGATTTTATAAAGCCAAAATCAAAAGACTCAAGACATGAGAAGATTCTTAAGTGTGAGGAAGTAATAAACACAGAAAGTGACCACAAGAATTACAAATATATTTAAATCTCAGACCTGGGAAATGGACTATACACAGCCTTCTAGGGGAAGAGAGACGCCTTAGATGTTCTGACAGCACTGCACCTTTGGCTTGTTTTCAGTGGTAGGTGGAACGTGAATAGGAACCACATTGTTGCTTGGAGACATGTCATTTTCACGTCTGTCTGACATTTGCTTCTGAGAAACAATGCGGTATATCTCTGAATGACAAAAGAAAGAGAAACAGTGTGTATAAACCCATGAAGAGTTTGTCTGAAAAAGATAGAAGATACGCAGAACAGAAAACACACATGTTTACATTTTATTTTTTAGGTCAGGCATGGTAGTGCACATCTGTGATCCCAACACTTGGGAGGTGGAGGCAGGAGAATTTGGAGTACAGGACCAATCTTGGCTACACAGTAAGTTCAAGGGCAGCCTGGCTTTCAAACAGCCACTAATTAGAGTCAAAGCAAAGACTAAAACTATTTGCTTCATCTGTTGCTCTAGTTCCATAGAGTAGATGCCCGACGAACTACTACTCAGTATCAGTGAATGTTTCCCCGTATCTATACTGAATTTATTGAAAGTGGCTTTACACCGCACTACCTAATCAAACAACAGTACATTTCTCAAGAACAGAGAACAGAGTATATAGGCCTCCATATTGTTTTTCCAGTGTTCTTTCTACAGCAATACCAGTACAAGGTAGAGAAACTCTAGAAACAGGCAATCCAATAGGATGTACTAGGAATGTACTCCTAAGTGGGCTCCATGTGTCACTGACAAAACTGCTCTTGGTGAATTTGTTCATGCAGATACAGGACAGATACAGAATCAGATGAGTATAAAATTTTTATCTCTACTACCCAATACAGTAGCTATTTAAATAAAAATTAAAATCCATGGCTAAGCATGGGGGCACAAGCCTTTTATCCCCAATACTCAGTAGATAAATGCAGGCAGATTTCTGTGAACTCAAAGCTCGCCTGGTCTACATAGTTAAAGTACCAGTCCAGTCAGGGCTACATAGTGAGACCTTGTCATTAAAAACATCAAAAGGCAATTCTATAAAAGGTATTAATAAACTTGGGAAAATCTGAATACAGGTACACACTAGAAATACTGTGGACATACTAAAATTTTTAGACCTATTAAGTTATGTGACTATGTAGGACCATGCCTTGTTCATATAAGATAAAATGTTTAAACTTTAAAAGTATAAAGTTACACAGAAAAAAAAAAAACAACCAGAAAAATAGAGATATATATTCAAAGTGTTCCAAAAAGGTTGGGTGTGGTAGCACATGTCTTTAATCTCAGCACTTGGGGGAGAGAGGTAGATGGATTATTAAGCTAGCCTGGTCAACATAGTGAGTTGCAGGACAGCCAGGGCTATGTAGAGACCCTTCTCAAAACAAGTTCCAAAACATATCAACCAACTATAATGTATAAACATTATCTGGATCCTAATTTAAACTGTAATTTTTAAGGAACTCTTGAGCCTGTTTAATATTATTTAGATAACAGATAGTAATAAGAAATTACTATAAATTTTTTAGTGGTTGTATTATGAATTTAAGTTCCAATTTTTAATATGCATATTCTGAAATATTCACAAATGAAATTACTTATTATCTGGGCTTTATTTCAAAGTAAAAAAAAAAAAGGTCATAGGTCAGGAACCTATACTGATGGTTAGTAAAAGGGGCTAGTATGATCTATTCTGCTTTAGGTAAGCTGGAAGCCACACACAAGGG